GCAGGTTTTGTGGAGATTTCCGTATTTTCATAGTTGAAATCATGAGTCATTTGAAGCTAGATCACCAAGGAAAACTTGGAAGCACTGGAAGGCCGTTTCGTCCTATTGTAGGACTCCTCAGCAGTGCGCATCTACGATCCCGCCTTGCGAGATTTGAACCCATGACCTACCAGTCTCGCGTCAGAGCGCTTAACCACTAGACCACTGAACCGGCATCTGATGGTGTTAATGTCTAACTTCAACTAATCCACGAAGCTGAGCAACCGTTCACCAATTGTCTTCAGTGAGTTGATATCTCACAACAGACGTCGTGGAACTCCACTGGTCACTGCTTCCCACTAGAACTCGAGGAAATATCTCTTGAAAATAGTCACTAGTGAGCATATGGTTATAATCAGAAGGGGTTTATATTTGAATGAAATACGATTCAATTCATTTTCAAATAGTTTTTCTCATTAAAAGAAAAAGTTACTATTATTCGAAATCATTATTGATTTTTTTGGTAGGTATAATCATTGATAAATAAATAGAAAAATATTCTGCTTATTGATTGTCGATATGCGAAAAAAATTGATGACGTTTCTTTTTGTTTTTATATATTTACTTATCAGGCATATCAACTATAGTTAATAATTGGGATATCTCTCAGTCATATAGTTCACTTGTCTAATATAAATGAAATCGAGTGCATTTGATTAAAAATAATTACAATCAATGCTTGCTTATTGGTATGTACAAATATAAAACTAAATTCTAAAGAATAAATTAATTTTTAAAATGTAAAATGAATTGTGTAAGAAGAGTTGATCGATTTTATTTTTCACATTTTTTAAATATTTTTAAAATGGAAAAATAAATTTTAAATAGAAATATAAATAAACTATTTAGATTGATATCATGAATGTTAGACCACCAGTGAAAACCTGGAAGCAATGGATGGCCATTTCGTCCTACAATGGGACTGGTGAGCAGTGTGCATCCACTATCTCGCACACAGAATTCGAACCCAGGATCTTCGGTCTCTCACTCGAATGATTAGCCTCTAGACCATTGATCCGTTATCCAACGGTGTTGATGTCTAACTTCAACCAGTTCACAATATTGCGCGACCGTCCACCATTATCTTCAGTGAGTAACTGCCCCATAAAATGTTTATTTTGAAGTAACATTAGTTAAAGAATAGTTATAAATCACAGGTCACTATATAATTGTTTCTTGGTAGAGTAATATTACTTTGGAAGTGCTACACTTTAATACTTTACTGTATATAATCAATAATATTGAACCCCAATCATCTTTAAAAACTTCTGCAATTAATCAGTAGATGCTACTCTCTATCTTTTACCTTAAATGTATTGGTTATTTCTGAAAACTGTAATGAAATTAAGCCATTCGAGTACTTCTTTAAAATATTTCTCGCGTCATTCCAGTTTCATAATCTAACAGTGGAAAACTGTCCTGTTCTTTTTCCAAAAATATTCCTACTGATATTTAATTATTCCAATCATTAAAAAGTATAAACAGCTGTCTAGTACTCTCTAACGTCAATGTCTTTATTATTTATTTAGCTTTCGATGCCAATTATTTATAATCATTAAGTGGAGTTATTTTTATCATACATTTAGATGCTCTCCCCTGTTTACTTGATTCGGATGTCAATAGGAGAGATGTGATTTTCCAAAAATCCATTTCAGGTTAGAAATCTTCAAAGTCTAGCTGTATTTTCATCTTTTTAGTGAAATTTGTTAACAGCCGTTGATCATGCTTTTAAAACAACATTATTACAAATGTTATGAACAGTGGGAACAGTGAACTTAATTCGGAGGAAAAAATATCCAATTTATCTGGTTTTCAGTAGATCTCAAACTGGAATCAAATTGAATACTCTTGGTAAATCTCTGATCATATAGTTACTAGCTTCAAGAAGAATTCCTAAAGTACTTTTCAGAAGCAGTAAACGATGGCATGAGACATTATACCACCAATTACACTTATCGGTCATTAAAGTCAGAATTGTGAAACAATGTCTTTTGATTTAATAGAATAGAAATCATAGTCTAAGACAGACCTGAAATTCGTGGCTTTAATCGTATGTATGATTATGCATGTGCGTGTGTTTCCGAAAAGTTTCAAACAATTGTGTCAATCCTCTTTGGTTATCAGTATTATTCCGTCTGAAGTTGCCCTATGACGAAAACTATGTTAAAATTATGCAAAACTTATCCACTCATATGTTTAGAAATGTCCATGACATGACTTGGTTTGCCCCGATCTGTAATAAGATACAAGGAAACTCTAATAATCATTTTCCCATGATTTGGTAACAAGCAGAATATCCAATAATTAAACACTGATTATTATCCAAATACCCTATCAACTCATTTAACTTAGTAACCCCAATGTAAAATTTACTAGTGAAATTCTATCAAACCTAAAACAAACAACACTGGTTAATTTCTATTGACCAATTGGTATAAATGGATTTAATTGACTTTTGCTTTCTTTGTACTCAAATATTCTATACAGTTCTAAACAAGGATGACGGCAAAATTGAAATTATTTATTATCTTATTTTTGTAAGCTTTTAAATCTTTCTGTTGTTGATGTTAAAAACTGAATTTCAATCAGTCCCAAATGGTATAAAATATTCGTTATAGATTCTATTGCTTATCATTTTTCATCTTCATTTAAAATACTTATGACTCAATAGTAGAATCGAGTTAGTTCGTTCACATATGCCAAAAGAGACTGATCAAAATTCAATCCTTAACATTAACAAGAAGAAAATTCAAACAAATCTTACAAATAAAATAATACGGTTCATCCTCATTGCACAAACTAGAGGCGTATCTGAACTTAATAACTCGATGAATAACGAGTTTGCGTTTAAATGAGAGTTACTGGATTAGAGTATCGATGTGAACGTACATCCAGCTGACAAGTCCCAAAAAGAGCGAAACGTACCTCATGAACTCCACTATTAACCAATTTTCATTTTTATTGAAAATTACATAGCTTCAATATCGGTCATCCTGACCAGTATAAACACTAAACTGATTTTCTGAATAGTATAACAAATTATATAGCTCAGAATTAGGCTTTTTATTGTGTTTCATTTATCAAAGTAAAATGTTCGTGTTCAGAGAAAACAACACCATCAAACTAATTTCCCGTAAAAAAACGTTGAATTTTACTGGAAATCCTATCTAGTCTGTTAATAGTTGCGAAATAAGTTCATATAGTGTTACTTATTAGACATTGTCCCTGAAAATATAAACTGTTCAAATAAACATTGGTTCAATTTATGTTACCTTCTTTTATCATTAGATTAAGACAGACAGAACGGATCATAATTATGATCATTACATTCAGTATCCAGGACTGTAATCGACAGTAAAAGAAAAAAAAACTGGTCACCAGGTATGAATAATAATGTATTCTATGTCCAAGTTACAGTAGAATTCTACTGATTGAGTAATTCAATATAGGTAGTCAAATCACGTGGCATTATGCAAAACCAATTTTTAAAACATGTGACTAAGAGAATGAACTATATATGCTTTCTTTTTGGTTTGAATAAACAATTTTTTATCATAGAAGACTAACACAATATAATATATTAATATTGAACAGAATAAAAAAATATTTTTTAAAAGTCTTCATACTTGCTATTCTCACTTATCTCATCTACACAGTTTATTCAAGTGAAGCATACATAGTACTACAATTAATAAGAAAAAAGTTGTACACTGTTCACATTAAGAGATCAGATACATGTCTTATTTTCATATACTTTACATGGTTTATGACTGTTTTAAACTATTTAGTATAATTTTATTCAATAGATCATGTATGAATTTTATTATTTACAGTTGATTGATCACTGAATGATCGAAAAGTGTCATGTATCCCAAGTCCTTCCAAGTTGAGATGTGGAAAAGTGGTTGAAGGCTATCGGCATGAAACTGTGAAGAGGTTAGATCTCAACATATTGCACACTATGTCAAGTCACATAGACTAATGGTTACATAACAACTTGATTTATAGAATTTGGTCAAGACTAAAAAGGACTTGACATACATAACACTAGTCACTCTCTACTCAGTGATCAACCAGTTGTATCTCAGTCCTCCGGGATGTTAGTCGTGGTTTGAAGAGCTCAGTGATAACACCTCTCACTGTGAAGTTGAATGATATGAGGGTGAATCCACCAGGAAGCATCAATCGTCTCAAGATTGCAGGTATACCTTACTGATGAGTGTCAAATGGAGCGAAACCTAGGTTCGTAGTGTCCAGTCTACTGCCTCCAAACACCTCACATGATTTTTAGTAATATTTGGGTTGAATGTATCTCAAATGGAACGAAATTTGAGTCATGAATTCCATTATTATGGACAATTCAAATAGTCGGAATACAACTTATAACTGGAAAGAAAATATTGAATAATTAATTATTGAGTTTAAATCAGTAAGATGCAATTTAAATACTTAACGGTATAGTTGATTTTGATAATGAAATGAGAAGACAATGGTTATCAGGATTATGTGATATCGATACATAGCGGTACAAGAAGGTACAGAATACATATGCGCTACACGAATAATTCTAAATGTGTAAGGACTGGGATATTACTTGCGTGCCCAAACCAAAACAAGTGGTTCCCTTAAGGGGCCACTCCCCGAACCTTTGACCTAGAGGTCTAAACAAAAAGGTAGCGGGGCTACGTAAGGAGATGCAGTCCTATGGTAACCGGCGACCAACAATAGGTTCACACTCCATTTGTTCCTTCAGGAACCTGGAACCCATATGCACCAATGGTTTGAAATTAGAGTTTGCCAACTCCCCTAGGTGGATCTTCCATATCCACCAACCCGGTTAAAGCGACGAACATTCGCTTTTCGTCCCTCGATTTCGTAAACAACACTCCAGCTACGAGAAGACAACGAGTAGGACTTCCCTTGCAGTGGCGGTATACGCGTGGTCATGTGAGAGCATTTGGAGAGGGAGAGCGGACTCTCCTCACCCTTGGCCGCAATAGGGCTTTTGGTGGGGGGGAATGAGAAGATCAGAGTTTATGAGAGAGTCTGAAAGGGGAAAAAGCAAAAGAAAGCTTGAGCAGTAGAAGCTACGAGTTAGTAGATTAAGATGAATAATCGGATATTCAAATAATCTCTGGAAATTAAAGTAAAAATAAGTAGTAAATAAACATGAATACAATTATGATTTAGAAACAAACCCTAATGTAAAAAATACTACTAATTAATAATTCAATTAGTGAGAATCATAGTTGTATATGTATACTGTGCATCCATTAATTGCTCATTTCATTTACTTCTATTCATGACAGCAAATTCTATCCTCTATTTATTGAATATTGATATAATAAGGATATCGAAGACTATCTCTTTTGTTATTAATATATAACTGTAATACACACACATTCGAGACACTGATAAATATTAGTTAATCAATACTGTATGAATACATATCAACATACATTAGATGAATTCGGGTGAGAAAGGAACAAAGAAACACAATGAATAAAGTAAGATCCTGTTCACCAATCGCTTCGATTAAAATAGCTATGAGGAATCAAGCGGAATGTCTTATGTTGAAATTGTGCACAGTTCTTGTTTGTCATTACACTGTATAGCAATGTTGTCAATTTTTCTCAATCATGTCAATTTTCATTTCTCATACATTAAAATAATGAACTGTTTCCTTACTAGTGATCACACTACTACTACTACTACTACTACTACTACTACTACTACTACTGCTGCTACTACTACTACTACTACTACTACTACTACTACTACTAATAATAATAATAATAATAATAATAATAATATTAATAATAATAATATTAATAATAATAATAATAATATGGAATGTATTGCTAAATAAGGGTGAAGACACCATACTCTAAATACTTATATGATCATAAAATCACAAAAAGTTAGTTTGACACATTTATATATCGTATTCAGAAATCCAGTAATAAATTCAATAATTAATGAGTCAAGCAATGAAAATTTAGAATGAAGGAAAGGAGAAAGAAAGAACAAATCAAATTGTAATAAATTTGATTATTAATGCGTTTCGAGAGTTGACTTCTGTCTTCAATAGATTCATACTATTGATTTAAAAAATCGTATTCAGTTGCGGAAAACCTGAACAGGAAATATTCATCGATAACTCTTAATAAACATAGATTACCTGATTGACTGATCATGGTAAAACAAACATTGAAAACTAGGAAACACTGGATTATTTTAACTTTGTATTGGGCTTTCCTGTAGATTCTTCTTGACTCTAACGGATATTAAATCCAGGACGTTCATATCTTACATGGATCAGTTAACATTTATACTACATTCGATGATTTATATTTCTAGCTTCAATTAATTTTTAAACAGATGAACTTAAAAGTAGTTAGTAGAATACTTATATATATGATCAGTGTGCAATTTGTGAGGCTTCTATGAGAAACGCCAATGAATTATTTTTTTGAGGAATATTAGTTGAGTTCATTTTATCACATATAACCACCGGACTAATGATTAAGCGCTCACAACGTAACTTGAAGGAAAAAAAGCGATAACTTGAGTATGACCTAGCAACGTCAGGGAAAACGGTGTAAGAGAAGGAAATATTGAGTGATTATATAGTATAACCAAGAAGCTTGCACGTAAATAATGTAAACAGAGTGACGATTCAGCAGCAAAGAATGTAAATCAATTAGCGAGGATCGAGAGCAGTGGAACAGGGCGTAGTATACTTTAAAGGGGTCTTGAATACACCAGCTTCGCTGAATCCACCAAACATCAAGGAGGAACATATAGGCTTCCCTAAACATGATTCCACACAAACAATCGAGGAAACCAGAAAATGTATTAGACAAATAGAGAATGGCTAAGCATCAGAACCACATTGCATACAACCTGAGGCATTAAAGGCAGACACAGAGGTACGTGCAGAGATGTCACACGTTTTCTTCAGAGAGATTTGAGACTTAGAACAAGTACCAACAGACTAGAAAGGTGAATACATCATTAAAACACCAATATACATCAACCTCATTGATCATGAGAAAGCATTTGACAGTGTAGATACGAGAACATTATGGGACTGTCTTCGACACTATGGTGCACCTGAGAGATAATCAACGTCATCCAGAAATCACAAAACGGACTAAACTGTAAAGTGATGAATGTGGTACAGCTGACAGATATATTCCAAGTGAGGACTGGTGTCAGACAAGGATGTTCAATATTTCCCTTCCTCTCTCTTCTCGTCAACAACTGGATTATGAACACCTCTACATCTGAGAGGAAGCAGGGAATACGATGGACATATTGGATGCAACTAGACAATTTGGACTTTGAAGATGAACTGGCTCTTCTATCCCATGCACAGCAACAAATATGGGTGAAGACAACCAATGCATCATCAATCTCTCTATCAGTAAGTCTCAATATACACAAGAGAAAATCCAAGTTCCTCAAATGCAACACGACCAACACCAATCCAATCACACATGGTGGAGAAACTCTGGAAGAGGTGGAATGTTTTACGTAACTCCACAGTATCATCGACGAACAAGTAGAATCTGATGCAGATGTGAAGGCACGGATTGGTGAAGTGAGTGTAGCATTCCCACAAATGGAGAACATATGTAACTCAAAACAACTGTCAACCAACATCAAATTCACAATCTTCAATATGAACGTCAAGACTGTTCTAATGTATGGAGCTGGAACTTGGAGAACTATCATAACCATTATCAAAAATGTACAAGTATTTCTAATTAATTGTGTACACAAGATACTCAATATCCGTTGGTCAGATACCATGAGCAACAGCCCAGTGTTGGAGAGAACAAATCAGCTTCCAGATGAGGAGGAAATTAGATGTTGGAGGTGGATAGGACATATATTTGGGAAACCATCAAACTTCATCACGAAGCAAGCCCTATCTTGAAATTATCTAGACAAAATGTGCAAAGAAAAACCGGAATACACATGGCACTGGGAATCAGAGGTAGAAATCATGATCATGAATATTACTTGCCAACAACTGAAAAAGAGATACAAGGATCGGGTTACTTGGAGATCTTTAATCTTTGACCTGCAGAAAATGAGGGGTCGTTAGCTTATGCATCAGTAATATTAGTTAAACTTCACTAACAAAGATATTTATTTCATAATGTTTACCATTTAAATTATATTTATGTCGTACATGTATATTCGTCATATACTAAATACCGACTATAAGTTGTACTAGTTTGTTGAAAGTGTCGTAAAATTTACTGGGAAGTTGTTTTATCTTCTAAATTGGTTCATTGATTGGGATTTTTACTCAGCTACTATCAGTATATAGATCACAAATCATCTGAATTGGATTTATGCAAATAAAGTGAAAAGTCTAATTGAGATACATTAGTACAAGAAATATAATTAAATATGAACTCTCGATGGCTATCAATCAACTTTAAGTAGATATAAATGAACCTCGTACAAACTTGGACGACTTCAAAAAGAATGACTTCTTCTTGTTATTAAAATTGGTTATTGGCTTACAGCGAAATCCGGGACCATAATTTATGACTGAAGTTTATCTCGAATCAGTTCGCTCAGAATACATAAACGCAAGCAGAAAATGACCAGTTACTATCTTGAATATCGAAAATAGGAAATTATAAGACTTTAAAGAAATAAGATTCGTACCCATGGAACACAATAGTGGTTATCAGGATTCATTAGCTCGGTGGATGTTCGGAGCTTAACGTGCTGGGTACGAGTCCCGCTGAGGTTATCAAAACTGGGGTATAGGCACGTCCAGTTGACGATTCCTAAGTAGGACGTAACGCGCTTCCCGGATGTACACATGCCAACAAAGACGGATGAAAAACCAGTCACATTATAAACAATAAGATAGTGTTATTTTAGGAATTATCAGGGTTTATAGCTAACATGGCTTTGTTAGATTTTCTTAAAATGACAATAATTTTAGTTTTATAATTGATCAGCTAAGCTACCTGACAACTGAAATAATACTGAGACTGTGCTAACGATTAGATCTAGACAAGTCGGTATGTGTACAGAGCTAGTTAATCGGAGAACAATTACTAGTTTGAGTTGATATCTCGTTAAGTACTTTTGATCTCTAGTGTCAAATATCATTTTTATCATTCACCTTGGATAAAATAAAAGTATTTTTGTGGAATGACTTGTGAAGTTGGTGAGTGTTGAGATACCTTTCATCATAGTTTGAGAAAACTGCTCAATACGTGCACACTCATGACCCTACTTCTGCGACAGTCTAGAAGTTTGAAATTGTTCACCAAACATGTTCTCCATTCAACCCTTGAGTAAACACTTTACACCTCAGTGAACTTGCAATATAGCGCGACGTTTATTAAGTGCTATCATGTTGTGCAGTCTGATTCAGTTGTGATGCACACTTCTCACAGTAACCCAGACTCACTATCCTACTGAGAACACTGAGATGAGTAAGGGAGGTATAGTTACTAAGATTGAACGGTTGCGTATATAAATTACAACTGCAAATATTTTCCTCTCTGCCCCACAGAAGGATATGTGTTGACACTGACTAGGGAGAAATTTACTTCTACTAATAGCATGTCTATTAAATTTCTCGGAATGACATATGACTATTTGGGTTTGTGACATGGTGTCATATGTCCTAATATGCCGTCTCCCAAAAAATTCCTTCCTTTCTCTTCATTCACGGTAACAGTAAATCAGCTACTTCAGGTGGATGATATTACCTTGTAGTTCTTCTCATCTTGTGACTATTCTGACCGAGAGATAAGACCGGCTGGTGAAAAGTCACGTAGTAACAGCGGAAGACTCTGTAATATCTGCATCTTTCGTCAGGTACATGTCAGCGGATATTAGAAGTACAACATAATTGTCCTCAAATTATTTTCAAAGTCCAATAAAAGTGCTATATCCAAAATTAGTGCATGAATGATGAAAAGCATGCTTCTCAACGAATACCTCATTTCAATCATCTAAATGTCTTCTATGAACATGCCATTGTAGTGCATCACAACCTTCTGACTAACGAAAGCCATTAAAATGAAAGTTGGAGCTTGAAATAAAACCCTCAGTGAAAATTATGCTTTAGTATGCAGCGCTCGCTCACTAAATGAATGGGAAAATGACAGAAAACGATTGGCGCTACACACAAATTAAACATCGAAAAACGGATGCGATACAAATTGACGGACAGGTAATTTATCCTTATTCATATTGAACGGTTTAGTTGAGGCGTGGATAAGATTCTAAAGAAAAACTGGATATAGGTGTAAAACAATATTATTTACGACAGAATATCGAGCACCTTACCTTTTCATTCATAAACTATAATAGCAAAATTTAATTGATGGATTTTTGAAGTTAGTAAGGTTAGTGATCCATGGTGTATAATAGAGTTAGGGAATTGCCAGATTCCTGGACTGGTACTGTCGGCTAGATTATACTCAACCATTGCTTAAATGTTGTCTGGTTAAATATTCTCATACACAGTACAATAGTACGAGTACATTAGCACAAAAGTTTCGAATAAATAGACTTTATTGAATTTCGATGCGCTAAATGAAACTTTATGAATATAATTGCAAAATTGGGGTACCGTGACTGTCTCTTATGGATATCAAGAAATAATTAAAGTTTAAAGGGAAACAATTCTAACAAGGCGAGCTTCGACGCCATAATTGCTAAATATAAATAGCTATGATAAGAAAAAACAGCTTTGACAATAATTATTCATGAACGCTTACGACGAAGGAACTGACAGATAGGTGGGTAACAGATAACCATATGAATAACTGTTAATGAAATATAGCCACGAATTATAAACAAAAAATAAACCTTCCTAAGTTCGATGCATGTGTAATTAATCACTTCATGTACATATTTCTGGCCTTTTTGATAACTCAGAGATTAAAGTAAGATTTTTCTTGGGATTTATAATGTCAACATATACGAAAGTCGAATTCAAGGTCTTTTGCTGAGAATAAGACTATGACTCATAGACATACAGATTATGTGTAAACTTGCATCTCACTGTTTAACAATATATAAAAATTGATTTTTCTTAGCGTTTAAGAGCGAAACAACGGATGAAACTTGACAATACATGAGATTTACTTTCCAAATTAAGAAAAAAGACTCATTGTATGGAAGCACTTTTTTCCTCTCAAAGTTATAACAACTTGTACAAATGTTTAATTAAAATTAAAGAACCTATTTTAATAATCAAATGTAAACAATAATAATAATATTAGCAATAGTTTTTTTTTTAAAAACACCTGTAAGGAAATTAATGTTTTTAGGCAAATGGATAATATATATTTATATATGTATATACAAAACAAGGAATAGTCGTTTCTTCTGCTTCTTCCCTAGGTTGGTGAACCACATTGTGACTGAAAACGTTTTATTCTTTCATAAATCTTAACTGCTGGACCAAGTTTAATCCCAAGTTCCGTCAGCACATCCATACGCTTCATTAATAACAAACAAGTACCATCAATTTCTTGTTGATAAAATGCTTCAGCTTCACGTGGAAAACCCTCTTCTAATAACCATTGTTGAACATGATCCACTGACCATATACTTACATCTGTTGAACGGTTATTATTTGATGGTATTGCTTGGTTTTCACCATTTATAATCATATTCGATTCACTAGTATTTTCAATTTCATTTTTAATTTCTTTAATATTGCTAGTGTCATTATTATTGTTATTATTATTATTACTATTATTATTATCATTATCTTCTAAACATGATTTCAAATGAAGATCTGATGTAGAATTAGACGAAATTGGTGATGTTTTTTTGTCATTGTCTGTAGCATCTTCTTGTATTGATGTAGAAGACCTAAATTTTGGAAAAATAAAAATGAATACGAATCAATTAATTAGGGACAAGCGATATACAAATTGTAAACTCATAGACGTTTCTGTTAATAAGTCACATGTAATATAGAACATGGTGCATTTGTGCATCGGTTCAAACTGCCACAAAACATCAGCAAAGCAAGATGCTAGAATACTAGAAGTGATAACAGTATCAGTTGTAGTAGGAAAGATTAGACATAGACGATATTAGTTCAACAAGAAAATATAAATTTGCAGTATGAAACATATAACATGACAAGTCTATCAATCAAGGAATAAAATGTGATTGTTGGAACGCAATCGTCAATCATTAGGATTCTTTGATTATATAGTTATACTTCATTATTAAATTTTTTATGTTCAAGATATTTAGTAAACCATACATCATCATATACAAACCGAAAACTTTGCAACAAGGAATGATATAGAGAAACAAAACGGGCTATAAAGTATAACAAAATTAGAAGAACAATTAGGTTATTTTATTGTCAAGTTCAACACCAGTAGTGAATATATGAAATTTAAATAGGAAATCATCCATGTAACCTTAATTTTAAGTCATCCGTAAAGAAATGACAATACATCAGCATGATAAATCTACATAGAATATATTGACTACTCTTGAAAATAATCTTTTATGAGGTAAAAGAAATTTTAAAATAAATCTGCTAAGACACATTTTCGTCAAAATTGTTCCATAACAATTCATTTAAAAAGAAGCTACACAATAATATAATCTGTCTATTATTCAAGAAAATTTCAAATTTAAGCCCCATTGTAAAGAAGTCAAATGAATTTAAATGACAAGTTATTTTGTTTGACCAATGTAACAAAAAGAATCCTTGACATTTTCTCATCTTAGAGACTAACCAAACTACTGTATATCATCATACTGAAATACAATCAACAAACATGATGAAAAATTGTAGAAACCTAATACCTATATATACATCCAACAATTAGGGTGCATCATAACACAATGTTGTTAAGAAAACACGTTCAAACAAGTCAACTAAGATTTATAACTTCAGGTGTGCTTGTAGTAGTGGTAGCAGTAGTCAAGGTTAAGAACGAAACATTTTTTAGACAACAGTGGTAGTAATAGTAATAAGCAATTGTTGTCAATATCAGTGAGTGAAAAAAACAGTATTGCTATGATATAAAAAAATTAGTACGTCTATTTAAACGTTTAACTAATCGTTATTGTCATATTCAATTCACGGGCTTGTACAAACTACATTCGTTAAAAAAACATGACTAAAACTATCACATTTAACCACATACTTGTTTCTTTTTTTTAGAACAAAAGACGAAAACCGATCTCAACTACAATAACTAGCTATTCTATTCGCATAGATGTATGATCCGACTGTAATGATCAACGGGGTCAATAAGCGAAATAAATTTTGATGAATATTAAGAAAGAAATTGGTTTACAAATCATCTATACAAGAGATAAGATACCTAGAGACAAAATAGGAACAAACAGGTAAAGCGACGGTTGATGAGCCAATAAACTGAGTTGTTTCGAAAAACAGACAATATGTGGAGAAATAGACCCCTAGCATTTTAAATTGACGAAAAGAAGTTTCGTTTAAATTGAGAATAAGAAAATTGTCTACTAGAGCAGCAAACGAAGAATATAGATTTCACTAGTGATGAAAACACCCCATGAAAATATCTGGAAAAAAATCTAGTCAACACGAATACAACTTTTTGCAGAATAAGTCGAATTGATGGGATGAAAAAAAAGTTTATTCTAGTCTGTCTCCACTTTCCAAACGATTGCTCAGAGAGAAATAAACACCTTAATTGGTGCAGATAAACTGTCGTAACGAATATCTGTGAGCAAGTCTTCAGGTAAAGTCAGATGAAACCAATGGACCGATTGTTACGATTACACTTGGGTGTCTATACTATAAAAGGATGAAATTCCGAAATTAGCTTGATTTTCTTGAGCTTGATTTTACCTTGGCCCCCTTTAGGTATCAGAAAATTAACGAACCCAATAGTATAAAATAGATATATAATGTAGAACACAATCAAAAAGTAATTAAATGAATAGAAATACGTGGACGAGAGTGATGTATGGTAGAAGAAAGTTTGTCAGTAATAGAGCGATATTATTCCCACAGACGCGTTGTAAATCCCATCTTTATCACGAAGGCACCAAAGGTGGGGCAAATCGGGTTATGTTGCTCTAGATTTAACTATACGTAGATAATTCTAATCACTCACAAACCCAGATACACAACATTTTCGACTTCTGATGACTCACCATGAAGAGTAAGTGGAGACAGTGTCTTGCTGGTATTGTAAAAGTACTTTGTAATTAGTAGGTGCAAAACACATACCATACCGACGGACACTAGTTGCCAACTGATTAAGTGAAAATTGAATTGCTTAGGTATCACTGCACGGTAAGACTATCATCCACATACTCAAGGCCGAAAAGCCTTTGTACAGGTACAGAGCCACACTACCAGTACTTAGATTCATCATAGCTGTTTGCGAAATGTTATTAATGTCCAAGTAGAAGAGAAAAGGTAATACGGAGTAACCCCACCTAACCCATTACTGATTGAATGAATGCTTATGAGCTGTTGTGGTCGATTCTGAACCGCTATTTAAGAACTCCAAATGCAAACTACTGATTACTTGCCAACCTAGACCAAGAGGTTTGCACTTTCAGATACGAGCTAAACCAACATCTGTTGAATTAATGGGTTGGTATTGCGTCTTGGTCTGACCATCCACCGACTACTTTGACGCACAATGACGGATGATGTAGTACTAGGTTGGAATGTCAGAGGCCGTCAGGCCAAGGCATGATATCAGTTCATGAAAACACCGATAGTTGGACTAAGCCATGTAGGTAGGTGCAGACTATCTGATTGGGGTTAGCTATGCTATCGTAACCGTAGATCAGACTTTGTTCAGCATCGGTCGAAGTAGCCCAGATGCATTCACTTCATGTCTTCCTTTAGATCCTAAGTTTCGAAATTGTAGAATGCATTTTGTTTCACGAATTCATAGTTTCTTCCTGAATCATATCGTATATAACCGATCTCTAATGATAGGGCTTATACCGTTACTACGTATAATACTCCGGGATTTTTGTTGATAATTTTGTTTTACTGTACTAATGTGGTGTAACAATTTGCATATGACTGACTGATCGATTGTTTAGAATAACCAATGAAATACAAATTTAACGTCACACTGAAAATATCTGAATATTATGGAGGATGGGACAGGGAAAATCAGGAAAATATCAAAACATAAAATATTATCCAAAGGCTAGTAAACTTACTTCTTTTCATGCAGGCATTCACCATCTAACTGCACAGGGTTTATTCCACATGTAGTACTATTATTATTTGTGGAAATATTAGTACTATTATTATTGCTATTATTTGGCTCATTTAATTTTGGCGATGTGGAACAACAAGTTTTAGTTGGTGTCAATACAACCGATGAATGACCTGTGGAATTTATATCCGCTGGAAAATTTTCATTACAAATGGCATTGGAAGTAGTCGTTGTGAGATGCTGGCCAACTGTGGAATGTGGTGAAGATTCAACAGATTTAATAATATTTTCTTCCACACCGGACTCATTTATTTCCTGTTTTGATTCAGTTTTAATATATTCATAAGACGAATTAATTTCTTTCAAAGGGGTTTTCATAAGATCATCATTAGATTCTTTAGTTTTGTTAGGTGACGAGTAATTTTGATTATTATTACCAGATGGTAGTGTACCAATAGCTACACGATAACCTTCATCCTGACAACTTGCACAAACCCAAGGAAGACTACGATCTATAGACTCTTCAAGCTTCGGTCGATGACATTCAATATGAAAGCCTTTGTCACAAGCATCACAGATAATTAAGTCACTCTATTAAAGAGACAAAAAACCAATAAGATTTTTCAAAAGTTGTGTCTGATATGTACAGAGTAATCATCGAGACAGAATTTACCGAGTATAGATTCAGATACTCAGTTTAGAGGTTCATTTTACATGTGAGGGTTAGTGATACTATCCCGCTTTCCAATTTGTTAGAGTTCCAAAATATTCCTCGGAAAATGCCATAGGGACACAGAAAAAGCTTGAAAACACTATCCTCAGAAACATTTAAAAAGTGTAAAGTCACGTGTTACTTTTCTGACTGGATGTTTATCTATACTGCTGTTATATTTATTATGACTCCAGAAACTTCAAGCCAAAGATAACTTTATAAATACCCTCGTTTTTTCTGTATATAAGCTAACTTTGGAGCAGAGTGTCTCTTTACACTTCACGCCGTGTAGATTTAACCTGGAGTTATTAGAAGCGGCCAGTAAGTTGGATCGAGAGTTCATTTGACAGACTTATCACAAGTCAAAGTAGGTGAAGTTGAACTTGGATCGGAGACCTAGTTGATAGAAACCAGATGTCCTACCCTAATCCTTAAGCTATAATTTTCCAGTATGACTAACCAGAAGTTCTAGTTCTGTTATACCCCGATAAGAATAATGAATGGTAACTTTGGGATCTATCTATGAACCAACACTATGCATATATTTTTTATTGTATAGTTGTTAAGTAACTTAACTATTTATATTCATGTTTCCCTTATCATGAGCTTTATTTTGAACTATAAACTATTGTTATACGATTTACCAATAATGGATTACACCCAGTCTGTTGATTACTGTTCCCCTTATTCACGGCTAAATCTTGTACATATGTTATTTTCTATTTTATGGTACAATGTGGTCAGTTTGATTGGTATATAAACCCAGTATGTTTGAGAATAATGATTCATATTGCAGAGACTGTTATAGGTGATCTGGACTTAACTGGCTGGGCAAGACAGATGTAGGACCGACAAGTACTCTAGACTGCTTGTACGGTCTCCATGTGTCGTCGTTCTAATCGGTAATTTGCTGCTCTCTGATTGACGGTCTTATCACGTTATACATTAACAGGGCATCCACTCGGCCACAAGTCATAACAAGTTGCCAACTGAACCAAAAACAGTATAAACTATTACCAACTGGATTTCTGATAAAAGAATGTGTTGTCAAAATATAGTAGTTATCTATACGATAAAAAATCTACGCAATTACACAAATATCATGTGTGGTAAACTATATCTACAGTGTAAGTGATGTATTACTAAATATATCACATTTGTGATCAATGTGAGATAATGGAAATTGTTATTTTGCATAATACTTAAGTAAATTTACCGAAAAATATATGTAAGTTCACAACATACATTTATTTGCCAAAAGTTTATGAAAGACAAATTGAGAATGAAATGGAATGGGTGATATACGATAAACTATGAATGTAAATTTTGGGTAATACTGTAACCATGCAACCTCTTTCGATAATTATTACAAGTAACTGACTTCGATACTGAAGCAACATAGGGTTGCAGAAAAAACCGTAAAAATCTACTATAGAAATCGACAGTAGTTAATACATCTTTTGTGAATCATTGACATAACAAGAATGTCACTTATCGTTACCAATGTTCATTAATTCTTTAGTGGTCTACGACTAAAATAAAGTTAGAATTTTCGAGGTACTAAGGATAGGGTCATTGAATAGAGACTATCAGTCACTGATCGCAAAGAACTTATATCAATAACAATAAGATTATTATGTGTTTTTAGTAGGAGAGTAAGTCATGCGTGAAAGGAGAACAAGACAGAGGAGAAACGTCCGTTAGAATATATTGGATTCAATAAGTAAAATATATTTCCCTACATATTGGACATTGTTCCTATTGCGAAACAGAATTAAAACGGAAATAGAGTTCGGATAATTATACCAAACATGTTTTTTTTGTAAACTTAATGTCATACTTATTTATTATTTATTTAAACACATAAATGTTGGTACAAATGGGCATCAAAACGTTTGCTCCACACGAGTCATTCTATATGTGTAAGGGCTGGGATACTGCCCGCGTGCCCAAACCGAAACAGGTGGTTTCCTTAAGGGGCCACTCCCCGGACCTTTGACCTAGAGGTCTAAAACACAAGGTAGTGGGGCAACGTAAGGAGATGCAGTCCTCCGTATCCACCAACCCGGTTAAAGCGACGAACATTCGCTTTTCGTCCTCTCGATTTCGCAAACAACACTCCAGCTACGAGAAGACAGTGAGTAGAACTTCCCTTGCAGTGGCGGTATACGCGTGGTCATGTGAGAGCATTTGGAGAGGGAGAGCGGACTCTCCCTACTCTCAACCGTACCAGGGCATTTAGGGGCAGTACCACATAACAATGCTAAGCAACACACAGTAACATTCCACTTAGTTCCTCTACGTTTCTACTCAAACTGTGAATGACTACGGTTCTTCCATAAAGGTTGTGAAGAACACCTTTTCGCAAAAACGACTAAATTCAACTTTTTTTCTCAAGAAAGTTACAAAAATTTGGAGAGCCGAACTCAATAAATTCTCTTCTATATAGTTAAAATAATATTGAAAATGTGAGTTAATCATTTACATTGCAGGTTTTCAATAAAAATCCAATAAATGTTTGGCGTATCATCGGGTTATACTATAATAAATCGAATCACTTGAGAAATCGTAAAACGTCATTTATGATTAAGCTTTGTTGCTATCGTTGTATTATATAACACCCTCAGAAGTAGAAAAATACATTTCTCCTGGATAACATAAAAAGATGAAACTCACTCTGTATTCACTATTATTACAAACTGTACAAGTTTTACAATCTGAACACTGCCATGGGGATTGGCGTGCACGTTCTGTTAATTCTGGCCAATAATCTAAACAAGTTGGGTGAGCTGTAAAATGAAATTAGAAAAATAGAAGAGACGATGATAATGTGAATATTACTTTGAAGCGATATTAAAAAAGAAAACGAAACAAACTTCAGAACTGAAAATAACTAAAAAGATAATTGGAATAAAGTAAGACAATTTACAATGAGAAAACAAATAAATAAACAGAAGAACTTTCAAAACTGATTGATTCTAAAGTCCGACCACCTATATTAATTTGAAATTTTGACTGTTGACAACCACTTGTCTTGGATATCCTGTCATTGACACCAGTATCAGTTTGATTTTTATATTTTCTTGTTACTAAATTCAGTGGAGAATTACCACTATTACTATAACATGAATTATCCAATCGTTTAATTTGTTGAAGATTGTTTTTCACACTTGACAATCTTGATGAAGTTGACTTGGTAATAAGATCTTGATTTGATCCCAGTTCAAGTGGTAATGAATTGATTTTAGATTGTTTCCGTTGTTTTATTTGTACAGCAGTATATGCTAAAGTCGATTCAATTTTACGAAGAATTGTAGCCAGTTGAGCTGGTCCAATTGGACGACAATTAAACCATGAATTCTCCGTTGTACAATTTGTTTGCCATGTTAAGAAATAATTATTCTTAAGTGATTGACCTATTGAACTATCAACAAAATCAATTATCATTACTATATATATTGTATGTATTGATGTAGTATAACGTCAAGTGAAAAGTGACGAAAATTAATCAGTGGTAAATTCATAGATTGCGCAAAGGAAAAATTTAGAGTGAACAGCAGATATCACTTACCTAAGTCTTTTGAATACATAAAATTCATGATAACAAACAATACAACGTTCATGATTATTCACTGAATTATGATCAAATATAAAGTTGATTCCTGAACTAGTAGTAGTAGTCATTAGTTGTTGTTCGTTTGTGTCTGATCGAGGGAATGAAATGCTACTACAACGATTTATTTTATTCTGTAATTTAGCGTTTTGTTTCACCGTATAATCTCGTGGTGTATTCTCATCTAAATAATCGAAATACGAATAATTTTTTTGACCGGACACATTCGTCACAGTTGTTCGTGGTAATGATGATGATAATGCAGATGAAGGAGACATTGAAGTGATTGATGCTTTCGTGAGTAAAGAACAGCTTGAATCTGGTCTATATATTAAACCGGAATTTCCACTTTTATGATTTATACACTTGCTAGATGACATCATTGGATCGTCTTTCAAAGTTAAATAAAAAGTGTCCGATTTAATTTTATTGTTATTGATCTCGTCGTCGTTATTATCATTGAAATAAACCACTTTTAATTGACTATTCAATCCAAAGCGTAACTGATGCAATTGATGACTGTTACGTAAATGAAGTGATTTGGCAAATAAGTAAATTAATGTGTAAATCAATTGTTGAGCATTCTTCTTACCGAAAAATTGTGATTTCCACAAAAAATCCTCTTCAGGAGATGAATAATAAACCGTATTCACATATGCTAGATTCGTTGGAATAAAGTTTGCAATAATATAACTTGGTAAAACGTCTATTTTAAAAGATGGAGTGATTACACCTGTATTGGAACTGGTAACAACACTACCAGTTTTTGAAGCAATGATAAATGGCTTAAGAATTGGTTTGTTTTCACGAGTTGAAGTGCTCTTCCGTTTCCTATTAGAGGATTCATTTATAACAGAGGAGACATTTTGTCGATGATACTGTGTGAATAGTGGCCTATCATGGCAGGGTATAGGCTTGAGATCTGATCTTATGTGATAAATTGATTGTATTGCAGCTGTATTACAGACAGATTTGAAACCTAGTCTGGTGTTAAGTAATAAAGTATTTGGATACTTCCTTAGGTGATTTGGTAATATTGGTCTACGTGAAGTACTCATGGACCTTCCAACTGCATTCGATGAAAGTGGAGCATGATTTATTGAACACTTTGGTCGACTGGAAACAGATGATGAGGCATGAGTGATTACATTATGACTGAAAGGATAAGATAATTGTTCACACATAGTACTAGGCATAACCCCTGAAGCGTTAGTTAGTTGAATAGGTACAGTCGTCGCACAGGAAGAAGATTGGTATTCCTGAAAAGAGTTTAAAGTACTTTTGGCATCACTTTTGGTTATGATATTATCATTCGAATGGAAAAATGACGAATTTGTCTGACCGGTTGTATTTACTTTCACCATTACTGTGCTACTGTAATTCTGTAACTTGCGTTTCCGTGGTTCATGTCTAAATACAGAAGTTTTTAAATTATTTTGAGTTCCCTCCTCATCTTGGCTGATATTTTTAGAGTCCTTTGAACTGTTTGTAGATGAATGTGTAAAGGGTAACGAAGAATTCTCCATCGCTTGTACTGTTGCACTACAGGAAGTGTGGGCCGATACAGAAGCGTAGCTGTTACATCCCGAATATGAGATTTGAGTAGTATTTGTGTTTGTAAACATAACGCAGACTGACTGAGGAAGTTTTGGGACGATAATTGCGGAAGTCTCTGGGGTCTTAATCGAACCAAAACACGAACTAAAGGGAGTGTTTAATAGGTTCTTCTCACATATATAGTCCAAAGGGTAAGGATCAGAGCTCCAAGGTACATTGGAAGAAAGTTTTAAATTCTCAGAAGAATTAGAGGATGACACGTAAGGTTTAGTAGATGAACAAAAAGCCTGAACATACTGATCAGGTTTATCTGCCATAAAACGAGGTCTTTTAATATTTTGGTGAGTGTAATTTGTGAAGGGAGCCACATTCTCCTGGTTCCCGGTACTAAATTGATTAACACAATCAATTTGGGGATGTGAACTCACCAGCATGTGGCCAAAACGAAGTAAAGGGACTAAACTCGTTGGGTTTAGTAGTCGACTTTTCATATTTTCATGAGAATGCTCACAAATGCTAGACCAGCTAAGATCGTAACCGGCATAATGTGGTAAGAAATGATTTTCCCCAGGAAGAGACATAAAAGGAGTTGGACAGTAAGCTCTCTTCTGAACACGACTAGTTGATGCTGTTAGTAGATTTAACATGGGAATTCTGTCCCCAGTGCATTTTTTAACTGTAGAACTTGTAGGATGACCCTTTTCTAGAACACTGACTGGAGGACATACGATTTCAGAATTAGATTGTGATAAGACATTATAAATCATAACTAACTGAAATGTTGAGAATTTCAAATTAATGTATGGTATCGACTAAACTAATCCCTAAATTCACCTATTGATTAAATTAATATTTAAATTCAAATTATTGATCGTTAACAATTAACATCAAATTTAATGAGAATGAATTCCAAACAATCATATATATATATATATATATATATATATATATATATATATATATACAAAAACGACAAATGCACAGTATAATCATTTAAAATATTAAAACGCACCGTTAAGACCGCAGTCCTTACATACAAGAAAGGCTTCTTCACATGTTGGTGGACCACCACAACAATAACAAATAGGACCATCTTTCTCCTCTTGTTTGTCAATTGTATCACAATTCATGTCAGACATAAATGAATCAGGTGTTAATATATTATCAGGTTTTAAAGGCATAGTTAGCTGAGGATTAGTAAAATCATGCGATAAATTCGATGTATTAGAAAACAAGGGTGGTAATGATAAGCTTTGAGATAATGGAAACGACAAAAATGGAGATGAAATAGTCGTCATCAGAGAAGAATCGATAGGTATACTTGATGCTGCAGAAAAATGGGTAGGTAGAATAGTTCCAGGTAAAATATTCGGACAGTTATTACTGGTAGAAGCAATTACAGTGATAAAAGAACTAGAAGGTAGAACTGGAATTGTTGAAGAAAATGGAAGTTCACTAGTTGCATGTGAAGTAAAACATGATGTTGGAACTAGGCCACTTGAATTTGCATCAGATATATATAAGGAAGGAGTATTTAATCCATTACATGTATTGGAATCTACTCCGCCAGGAGTAGTTGTGTTTCCATATGCAGTTGAGGAATTTTCAACTTTTATTTTCTGAAAATAAAATATTCAAAATGAATATTGAGAACACTCTTATGTTAGACGATTTGCAATAATTTAAACCCCTTATATACAGAACTAACAGCAATTGTGACTAACCCATTACGAGTGATCTGAAAGGTTTCGATGAGACGAAAAAAAGAAAGTTGAATTTTAGATTTATCATCAATTTTCCATTACTTATATAAGGAATTTTTGTTCGATTTCTAAGACTTACCAGGTATGTACAGAGCGAGAAGAAAGATGTTAAACAACGAATTTTTCCTGTATTATTACAACTAAAACTACTAAAGTTGTAAAAATCTATAAACTAATTTTAGTCTGTGAAGTTTAAAGGGAATTGAAAGATGAGTAATTCCACAAAACCTAAGTCTAGTTATTACTGAATTGACACCTTAAAGAACTTGGTCTGAAGACTGAACAAAGATTGTGAATATGTTATTCATACAACTTACTTATGGATGCAGGTTTCCCACGATCCAAGAAAAGAATAAAACCAAGGTGAGGTAAAAATCAGTATCAAAACAAATCAAGTATACATAATACTGTCTATTCTTTCTGAAACCTAATCGACTCATTGTTGAATAATGGGAAAAATATGTATATACTAATGATCTGCGAATAATGAACAGTAGACGTTTCTGAGTCAATAATTATATAAAGAAGGATGAAAAATGGACCAAAGGATATCCCTAAGTTGTAAATACCTCAAGTCCTAGAATCCCTGCGTCACAGTACCAGAAACATAAGCACAACCCAGTATTGAAATGAGAAAATACATTTTGCAGCTTAGTTATACAAAACTTGTCTACTCAGACATAAATGACAAGAGTGGAGACTTAAGATAAATCTACAGTCAGATTTATTGTGTACATTATCTTCAAGATACTAAAATTAGGCAACCCCCTTATGATGGTCATAGCACCAGTTATAGATGTCTGGACATTTTCTGAGATTCAACAACTGTGATAAAACTGCAAAAATGATATCTTTAGGGAAAAACTAACGCTTACCGACAAGCACGCTATTCAGATCGAAAATCGGTAGATTTTTAAACCATTTGTTGATTAAGAGTAATTGACTACATTTGGAAGCAAACTAACAGTTTACAGAAAGTAGATGTTTGGCACTTTATCAAATAATCTCCACATGTGTTTGTTGTCAATAAAATGCAAGCACCGCAGTGAATATACATATAGGCTACCTTGTTAATATGCATGCATTGTCCTAACGGTTCGAGAAGTGTTCTATTTCCAAGGTGACTTAACATTTGCAATAAATAATGTGTACCTAATCGATAAACCAATCAGAACATGTGACCCGGAAAGCTACCAGAATTTTAAGACAGGATAGGTTAAATCTTGGTTTAAACCTGATAGAGAAGCTAGAAAAAAACCAAAAGATCGATATTATCTTTCTATGGCCTAGAAAACGTGAATCAACGATTCATATGACAGGTTAATTCTGATTGGTCAAAAGTCGATAAGACAATAAACGTAGGAGGACATATAAATCGGGTAATGATATAAAGTAAGCATGTTGGCCTCAGAATAAGTGCGCGAAAAGTAGGACGATGTGTCGTTTGGACGGACTAACCACTGAAAGAAGCGTACTGAAGAGAACTATCCTGTATTCCTTGATGCGACGAGAATTTTCATGCTAAGCTATTTGTAGGTTGATAGTTTTCGAAATTCACTGGTTCATTTGTAGAAAAAACTGTACGTAAGTCTTGACGGTAAGGGGTAATATTTAGCTGAAACTCCCGGTATCTATATGATTAACCTAAAGTATACTGCCGAACTAATGAGAAATATCCATCGAAATAGAGTTAGTAATTAGTGTTAGGGTTTTCATCACAAACTAGCAACGGCTGTGATAGAAAAAATCCTAAACACATCATAATAAGTCATCTACTTATTTTCACCTGATTGGCCGAAAACAGTTAACGCCTCAAGTTCGTTGTCCAGGTTACTCTATTCTTTTCAAGCTTGGTAAACTTTCCGATTGCTTTTATTTTATGCCGTGACGTGCCAAATAGTCCATACTTCTCTATTTCTTCCCTATGATCTCATCATGACGATGGGATGGAACGTTACGTCCAACTTAAGGGTACTATGACCACTGTTCATCAGCAGCACAAAAGCAGACTATAAGTATGTTAATAATGTGACGATATGTATGTATATGAAAAATAATTGGTCATTATGAAGACGAGATATTCATGGTTTATTCCCAATAAATATCCCAACACTTCGCGTTTCATAAGCTACTGAAGCATTGATAGAATTTGTTTGAAAATAGTGCTTTTTTAGCCCGCTTAAATATAGAAAAAAAGGAGTCACATAAAGCAGTAATAGCAAATGTAAAGAAGAATAAGAAAAGGTTATGATGAAAGTTAGAGAAAGAGCAATCATGCGAGACGCATTCAAAAAGCATCCATCCTTACTAACGGCAAACGTCTAGGCAGACGAAAAGTGAAACTCCACCCCAATTAATAATGACTTTGCTTTTAGATCACACATATTATTTTATTTATTTTTATTTGATAGACAAACATTCAGATAAAACTGGAAACCAAAAAATTATACGTAACACAAAAAGATAAAATTGAACAGAAATAACGGAGGGAGTGGGAGTAACGTTGAAAAAGTGAACAGAAATAGTATGTTAGAAAACATAGTCCAGATAAAAAACCTGGGAACACCTCTTCAAGTTAGGAGAGTTCCTCTTAGTTTTATGAAGAATGTAAAAGGAAACTATGGTAGGGTTACTGATTCACTGACTTATATTCTGAACAATGTCTGTTAACATTTCAAGCCACTGAGTTGCATTATCTCTAGGACCTCAACAAGTGAGTCATGACAGGTCAAGAGATAACAACCTTTCACGAAGATATGTATCACGAAGCCATATCATATACTGACCACTTCCACTTTTTTCACCCGGTCTCAGAGTCAGAAGCTGATGCACAATGTGGAAGTCACAGCGACGACAGTCGCAACACATTCTCAAGACATCAAGGTCAGTGTTTTAAGATAGTAACACCAATTGAATAATCGTTACTGCGCCTGGACATCAGTATTACTAACATGGTGTTACCACTGGATGTCAGCAATCTTTTGAAGACCATGATGATCTAATCGGTGGGCATCCTCGGTATGGAGGGGCTACATTTTTTACAGAGTGAAAATGCTCTGACCGATGAGTTGTAAATCCAATCCTTCACAGCCAGGTTAAAATCATGATGGCGCCAAAGATGGTTTAGATTGGCACAAGCCTCCCTGGCTTCCACCGACAGGATTAACAACTACAGAGAGACGCCAATTCTCCGACTACTTCAAACGAATCACCACAAAGAGTAAGGACAGGTACAGACTCCTACCAGTCAGTACTTAGCAAGATACATGCCATATTTACGGACAATAATCACGAATCGATTGGATGTGATTAATATAGTGTGCATCATTATACAGAAAGACAGTGTCATCCATATAATCGAGACCAAAACGGCTTTCTTCAAAAAGCAGATCCACGCCACTGACACTTCCTTCAGAACTGTTTTCAGAATGTCATCATCGATGGCAAATTTGAAGAGGAATAATCACATGATAACTTCCCAAGTCACTAAGTTATGAGGAAAGTAAGAACCCAAAACAAAGATATTTTATACAATGGAGTTCTCCTCAACTAATCCTAGCGGAACCATTTAGTACTTGGTATGTAAGAAACATCATGTATCAAACAGGAATGAAACAACCATCACAGTGTCTTGAAAATAGAACTACTGATCGTATAATGCTATTTAACGCGTGAACACACTTTGAGAAAGCCTCATATCACGTAACCGATATTGTTACTAGGTTTAAAAAAACTTTGGAATCATCGATGATAAAATACTAATCAACCTCGACTCATAAAAGCTAAGCTTGGCAAGCATAAAGCAGTATTACGTGGACTAACGTTTTGTATAACTAGCGAAAAATGTCGGATTTCTTCAAAAGTAGTCCAAACGTAGAAGGGAAAAGTTTATTTTTTATTCGAGTGGTCGTCTTACTTGCAACATCCTGTTGACAAAGTACTCAGAAACATGAACTATCCAGCAAATTATCATGATTGAAAACATCCGTCACGTAGATGTAAATGACACTTGACCGGTTATCGAATGCCGAGTGTACTACACAACAGTTCGTTTCGTGTTAATCTACGACGTTGAAACACAGATGTTTTTTGTAGTATAGTAAAATCCCTGTTAGGGTGTGAACACAGTGAACCGAAATCAGAGGTGTTCTTACGAATCTTTACGTTATTTTTTACATCAAATGGATTTCTGAAATAGTGTACACGGAAACGAGTTATATAAAACGTAATGACAGCATCACAGATGGGTAAATTAAACGGTAAAATTATGGATAATAATATCAAAGAACATAGTTCGAATAAAACCAGGTAAGTTCCCATAAGTTTAAAATAATTTGTGAGAAATGCGAAAGTGTACTACACCAGAATCGGTACATAATTTCATTTCATATAACGTTCCAAGCTACTGGGGTCACAGTTTTCAAGACTGCATCCAAGAGGTCCTTAAAAATCAAAGGATATCAACACAACTATCCTTCATTCCTCAGCATCATGTCACAAATTGATCACTTCATCTTTCCACCCAGTCTTCACATCAGTAGAATGGAGGCCTCTGAAACTATATGCAAAGAAACGTGACAAACCGACCAAATACTGTTTCAATATGCCGATACTGATATAACTGCGTTAAATCAGGTAGCCAGACCTCAGAGTTACTTACCACCGAATACGAGCAGTCTTTCGACAACAACGATGATTTAAAACAGTCTTCAAATTTCTCCATATATGTGGGGCCAGATCTCACAACTGCATATACACTGCTCGCACACAAACGATGTACATGCACCCTACCTTCTGTGGTTAGACTAACCACGGAGTGGTGATACAGAAAGACATGCAATAATATGTGTAACGCATATTAATATACTTATAATTAGCCTGAATAAACTAATAAGCATCAAAATATTGTGTGAGGTCATATGAACAGGCCGTTGCAAGACCACGAGAGAATTTATTCACTATTTTAATGGTCTAGTCAGTGCTTTTTGTTATATCCTAGCGATAACAGCCACATTTGGCTTGATTTTGTACAAATATTATTTTCTATTTTATGGTGTGATGTGGTCTGCCTGTCTGGTATATAAACAAAGTATGCTTGAAATAAACGATCCGCATAGCAGAAGGTGCCATTGGTGTTCTGGGCTCAAGTGGACGGGCTAGGAGGATTAAGGGCCATTAAGGACGCGAGATTACTCATACTGGTTGGACGTCCTTGATTGTCACCGTGTTAAGGTCGTATAAGTCGTATTTCTATTGGTGGATAATTCACGCGAGTTACGTCCTTGTTTAATTTGCAAGGTCATAACAAATTAGCAACGACCTTGACCAAGACATAACACTTCTGTATTCCATGTCGAGCAACAACCACTAACCTTAAACCTAGCTGTTTGGATATTATTCTGTAATGGTAGGTGGGATATATTCGATAACATCAAACCATTTATATTGAAGAACTAAATGACTACGGAAATTAGGACACGTTATACGCATACTGAAACATGGCCAGAGTCCAGACGGGTTCACGAAATGGAGACAGGATGTTATAAAAATCAGCGTCACCGACCGTCAGTTGAATTATGATCTGTTAGTACAGCTTAACTTGCAGCAAGAAGACAACGTAGCACTTGACTGTGCCCAAAGTTGAGACAGATTAGAAACTGCTTTTAATCTATGTAAAGCTGTGAATAATAGTTAGTTATTCGACCTACTACATACTAGTCTTTACCAACCACGCAAACGATTCCTCAACATGCCTAGACAGCTAGCGAATTAGTTCGTTACACGTCTATCAAATAAGCTTCTTTGAAAAGAAGAGGATGAGATATCTAGGCCACAATCCATAGAACTGTTGAAAGAGAAAAAATATACATAGTATCTAGGATTACTTTCGCCTGACGAATCGTCCAAACTACTGTGAATTAGAGTAGTTCACTTCATGGTCCCAGAGAAGGCCGCTGCTAACTAGTGAACGACATATCAGGTATTAAAAATTGTGGTGTGTATAAGATGTAATAGCATCCAACAAAGGATAAGCATATATACACAACGAGAACAAAACCTGTTCTACAATTCGTCGTCCAGATCTCCAGTCTATAAAAAACAACTATAGGTGACAATAGAGAACCGACTGAGAACTATTATGATTTTTGTATGAACGAGATTCAAGCAGTCTGCCGTCCAACTACAATATTTAAGGATACGCGAGGAAAACACCACTAACGCCCTACCTATCTCAATAGGAAATTATAATACACATAGTGAAGGTAAAGAGAGATACAGAGCCAACACTATCCCTTGTTACCTCTTTCCTAAGTCAACTAGGCCTCCAAGACTACGTCAGCTTCTTTATTAGGTTTTCTATTAAGTGGAAAGTTCCCATAGCTTCAGAGGATCCTAAATTTTAATCATCCACACTTCTCGATAACATCAAAATTCAACGATATTATTCCCTATCGTTTATTCGAAGTAGCAATACACTTGGTATTCTAAAACTGTTCTGAAAACGATGACTTAGGGTTCATAATATTCAAAGTCGATTTTAACAACAGAACTGGTGTGATGGATGTATTTTGGAAATGCGTTACAAAACCCAAGAGTAATAACCTTAATACGCCATAGTGATCGATTCTGAGCCATGTCACCTAGAGTCTCTAACCATTGGTTACGATAGTCACGCGGACCCCAACCAGGTAGTTTGCATCTGCCAACATGGCTCAGACTAGAAGTTAGTGACTTCAAGCACTGATGCCACGTTTTGGTTTGGCCGCCCCTAACTCTTTTCTAACCAGTTAGGACGAAATTTTGGAACAAGACAGACAATAGAAAGGATAAGGTAAAAAAGGACATAAAATACTGGTAGAGATTTACATATATTTAAGTGGGAAATCTAGCCTTATAAAATAAAAGTGAGGTTACAAATACATATTGAAACAAGGATATATTAAATATAACTCAGTGAGCGAGTCAGTCGGACAGTAAGTCTGAGATTATATGATACGTGGAGTGAAGTAGTAGCTTGGAGGTGAATTGTTTACAGCTATTGGGTTACGAGTTCAAATCCCACTCTACAGAATAATGTTTGGACAGCCGAGTAGTGACGGTGCAACTGAGTACTCAAGTAAGGATCCGTGTAATGAACTCGAAACTGCTGTGACGACGGAAGCTACTATTCAACTATTGGTACTGATATGCATTCAGCAGAGTTTGGATCTATGACCCATTAAATGAAAGTAACTTTTACAACCTTAGGCCAAAAATTCTTAAAAGATACGATACATTGGATCAGTATATACACTATTGATTAGACAATCGATTATGATTCAGATGAGTTTCAGTAGTGCATAAAAGTCAACCCAACACGAATGAGTCATCAATCAATGTCGCAAAATGACAACCCGGAAATTCGCCATACAAGATACTGTCTATAATATACTCAGAAAATGAATAATTGAAAACGCATGTAAACTTTGTGTATATTCATTTTTAACGAGTTCCCACAGCTAGCCACAATCTATCTATTCTATAAAACTTTCAGTTAGTCGCCCCCTCAAATGAACTAGATAACCAGAAATTTGAGCGACAAAATCAAATTGCCGTGTCATATGTCTGAAATAATATGTTGTACTTGTATGCTGTCTGTAATTAAAAGTGAATGTGAATTTTCCTATGAAAAGCAAAAAATCGCGCTATAAATGTCAAAAACACAAGGTTGCACAAACTATGTAAGAGACATAAGACACACGAACAATCTTCACTAACATTAAAACAATCACATATAGCGCTCCCTTGACTGGTTGGATAGATAAAAATGTAGTTAGAAGGGATGCCTTAGACGTATGATAAATACAGGCAATGTTATAAATCAATAAACGTATTAGATGAGTCAGACCAGGGGAGTCAGCCAGACCAGTTAAACAAGAGGGTAGAACTTAATATCATAAACAATAACCAGTGTCAATCTCTATTCCTTAAATTATACCAAGAAACACCTACGCACTATAAAGGGGTAGACATAAACGAAGAGTAATTATTTTTGCTACATTAATCACAATATAATCTAATTCAAAACTGTACAAAACAAATGCGCAGTAACCTGTGCACAAAGAATACATAATTTAAATGAAGATCAATTAATTATTCAGTTTGTATACAGTAATAATGACAAATATCATATACTGTCTGCCGATTCGAAAATATGGATAAGGTTACACAGAAGAATGAAGACAGTGTTTATGTTTATTGCCGATTAAAATTTGATACTAGATTCAATCACTGATAATATAACATAACCTATATACGATAGCGACCGACTGTAATGGAATAAAACCTATGTTGATCCATTAAAAAAAATTAAAGACTAATGATCTCATCATAGATCTATTCATAGTTATAATGAGGATGGTATACGACAATAAGACAAACAATATATGTACAGCGATATGGAGAATATCACTATCAAACAGCAGACAAATTCTTCTGGCTGCGAAACAGACTATCTGAATAGGGGAGTGCTTGTATGTCTATCACACGAAGACAGGTATATATATATATATATATATAACTAAAGAGTTTACGATTGGCTGCCTAAGTACAAACCTTTGAGATAAAATAGACAACTTACTGTGACAAAAGGATAACAATGGTAAAAATAAACAAACGACTAGGCTAACTATATTACTCAATGAAATAGGTAAATATGAGTATAACAATCGCTTACTTTTTCACATAAATTTATCTCACTAGAAATTTTCTTAGCTTTTGAACCCGGTGGACGTCCTCTTCTACCGGAACTCAACGGAGGCATTGAAAAATTAGGTGTAAGCGATAAATTAACAGGTTTTCCATTAGTGATATTAGGAGTTTGTTTAGCTGCTAGAGGATGAAGTCGTGTAGGTGTAATATTACGGTCAATTGGTCCGGATTTATTAGTCACTTTAGAACATTGTCCATTGGAGGTTTGGTAAACACCGGATGAAGTATTAGGTGGGAGTAGCTTTTTATTAGACATTAAAGGTGTATGCATATTACTATTACTCATATAGGCTTTTTTATGTTCTCCTGTCTCGTCTAATATATAACGTCCATCTGATGTTTTAGCTAGTTTTCCATGAGTAGCTTCACGATCGAGACAGACACGAAGAGTTGCTCCAGTTAACTCTGGGATCGATTTAGGTGAACCATTTAAATCACTTAAAAATTGTAAAGCTCGTTCAACTTGAAAAAGACTGTAACCACCATTTGGTCCTGGTTGTGAAAATGGAATTAAATTAGTACATGACTGTGTTGATTGACTCGACAAATTACTTTCCATGAGACTACGAATAGCATCAACTAGTTTATGACTTACACTAGGCAAATTAGTATTACCAGTACCGGAAGTCGCTGCTGTTTTACGCCATTTCGACGGATTCCGATAGCTTAAATTACCTTTGTAATCAACGCATACAACCGCTCCAGCATCAGCAAGACGTTGGAGGCATAAATGAGTTTGTTCTGAATTTATGTTTTGATGTCTTTTTAAGAGACAAGAGATACGTTCAAAATCAGGTCGAGCTTTTCTTTCACGCAACTTATCAATAGCATCCAAAATGGCATCTCGATGAAAGTCAACTGCTTCTAAAGCCTGTAGATTTCTAACATTACCAACTTTTGCAGGGACTGAAACAAGAGGTTTTTCATTTTTTGACGATATTGCCGAAGCATGATCACCATTGGTAGATGGGAGATAAGATGTTGCATTTGGGTTGGAAGACAAACTGGCTACTGTTGTGATCGGCAAAATAGTAGGATTATTTAAAGGGAATAAGGTTGCTGTGTAAATTGGTGTTGTATAGTTGGAGGATGATACGAGAAAAGAATTCGTTGTCTCTGTTATTGAGTTAGATGGCAGGGATTGGGGTATTCCTATGGGAATGGGTAAGACACCGACAGAGTTTGTTTGAGCTTGATTACTAAATGCTACAGGGAGTGTAGGTAGTACCATTGGTTGAGAAGACAAGATGCCTGATGGCATTTGATTATTAGATGGAAATAAAGATACAGGCAGTGTAGATGGGTTTCCAGATGTAGATACAGATGAAGAAAACGTGGAAAGTGAATTACTGTGTCCTGGATGAACAAAATGAGACATAGGAGCACCGAATGGCGACGGCATAGATAGAGATGAAGAGTTGGATGGCATGAGATTACCAGAAGTAGGTGCGAAGAATGGAAGAATTGGCGTCTGAAGTTGTGGTGGACTCGATAGCGGAACTGTACATGTGAGATTTGCCGGATTTGGAGGGAAGTTAGAAGGTGGCAGTAGAAATGATCCGGGGTTTAACGTTTGCGTTGAATTAATATTTGAAGGCATCATATTTGTTGACATTGACAATATTGTTCCAGGAGAATTTGCTAACGAAGATGGAGAGGCAGGAAACATGTTGTTAATTGCAACAAACGCAGTTGGACCTCCAGTTTGTGCGGTTGCTAACATAGCTGGAAACTGTGATAAATTAGTAGGGCCAAATGACATGCAGCAAACCAGAATAGTGAAATATTAGAGAAACTTCAAAATTTGGTTGATTAATACAATGTAATAATCCAAATTTTGGCCTAACCGTGCAACTGACGCATATAACGCGGTTGAATTAAATGAGTGGAAGAGATACGTATTCGCTCATTCTATGACCTAACGAATGAGAGTCAAGCTAGACAGGGTGGAATTAGATTATGCATTAAAATGTATGTACGACAACCAAACAATTGTCCGTGCGTTGGTGTGTTTATCTATTTGGTTTAATGAAATTAAATAAACATATAATATACAAACACATCGTAATATTGACCACACCGAGCGAGCGCACACACATATACACATAAATATACAATTAGCCTTGAACAACAGACAGGGTGGATTACGGATAGACCAACCAAAATTCTCATTGGTATTTCATGATTGGTTAATAATACAGTATACAAGCGACACTCTCTATCACAACGGATGTCAAAAAGCTGGGGGTTGATTTGACCTTCGCATTTAGCTGGGCCTTCTCATTGATCTGCCAACTGGGGGAGAGTAAGAGAATGTATTTAAAGCCTACATTCCTGACCCACATTGTCTAGGTCATTTTTACATTGGCTGTTGAAAACCTGCGCTAGAAGCCTATGAAGCTACCTTACGCCTCTCATTATTAATTTAATGGGGGGAGGTTAACATAACGCTAAGTATGAATCAATATTTTGTCTATGCAGACAAACTGAAATATTTCGCGCATATTCGCTTTTGGCATCTTAGGTGGCTGTAACAATGTGCGTAAGTAGGGTGATCAGTTGTATCAACTTTTCTCCAGTAAAATTAAAATGAATAGACGCGCTATAAGTAAATAGTGGAGATATGAAAAAAATTAACCGATTTGCGAAAAGCTTGGTTATTACTGTTATTCTTCACTTGTAAAGCCAAACAAAGCTTTGTATTTAAGTTTAATATGTATGTGCATATAAGCATTTGCATACATGACAAAATAGAACAAATAAACCCACAATTCAGTTGCGCGTTTTACACACACACACTTGGGTAAGAGAGGTAACTTAGTTTATATCATTCTGACCTTACTGACTAAACATGACATATCATCACCCTGCATAATAAAGTTATGAGGGAAATTAAAAATTATCTGTGACATTTGAATCTAACACTAAGATGCATTTGTGAACGTACAAAACATAATGAACAGGCTTGTCTGAACAAAATCTAATAACAATAGTAGGTAGTAATTAGGATACAGCACATTGCTTCAGAAGGTGAGGGTTCGAACCCACGAAACGTAAGACGAAAAAGAAAAGAGAAGCATGTTAACACTGGTCGTGTTTAATTCTTAATCAAAAAAGAAAAAAAATGTGTGATAAGGGTCCTCCATGTATGTATGTATACAACTTGGCGAAATATTTCAGGATCAATAAGGAATTACTGAAGATACATTCCTTTTAGACTCCAAATCTTCGCCCATAAAAACAAATGAATGAATCCATAAATGTACTTTTTAATCGATTTTACAGATTTTATATAGAAGACTCTAACTCTGGGAATGCTCTTCTTCATTGTGGATTTGAAATAGACAATGCTACAACTATTTTCTCGTTAGCCATATGGTTCGTGTGTTCGAATCCTCCTTCTTGAGAATAGGTGAATTGGACAACCGTTTCGTCTTAGTTTGAGGCTAATAATCAGTAAATACCCAACAAATCACTCTCCGATCTAAGCTTCAAGGTTTAGAAGCACGAATGATATGATCAAACCACTTAAATGTTATATGATAGTTCGCATTTTACAACTTCAGTCATCTTGCAATATGCTGCAACTGTCATCTAATACCTTCGGGTAGTAACCGCATCACTCATGACTTGATTTCCTCAAGAGCTTAAGTTTTCCAGCTAGAAGCTTAGAGAAACTTACATAACGTTTTAAATATCATGATATTCTATGCCGTTTTAAAAATGTTGTCTAGAAAGATCATGAAAAGTTCACGACTAAGTCACCCAGCTCATTGAACATAACTCCAATAAACATTTTCATAACATTTTATATTGTACTATTGCTATTACAACAACTACCACTCATAATAATAATAGTAATGATGACAATAATGTTCAGAAATAAAATCAATCAATCAATAAATTTTAGCATATGGTAAAAGATTATTTTAATAACCAACTGGTCAATTGTTAATAATTCGATTAATTAATTGAAATGTACTCAGTTACACAACAATAATATGTGGTGGTCAATAAATTAATGATAAATAGACTTTCGTAATTTCTGTAGTTGCGATTTCCTAGAAAAGGGGTCATTATAAAAGCTTGTAAAAAATAAATAATGGACTATATATATATATATACCAATAATTAATCAATCTTTGGTGTGTACTAACACTGTCATTCTTTTGAAATATAATATAAAACGGAATGTAAATAAATTTCCTTCCTTTATTTAGCTGAATGTTACTAAACATAAAGAATTGGAATTTGGATTCCAGGATCACGAATATTATTAAAGCTTTTAAATCAGTTAATCCCTTTGACAAATTTGGATAGTACAATAAGAAGACGAAGATTATGGGAACTATATGACATATTTTTACAAGGCATTTCAAACAATCTGATAACACATCATATTACGAAAAAATAAATGGTTAACTAGGCAAATAAGAAGGTAAAAGGAAACATATAATAATAACAACAATAGAGTATACAATGTGAAAACCAGCCTGAATGACAAATCACTAGTACCAGTAAAGGTTAGGGGTAAGCACAGACTGTTTATAAACACATAAAAGGGGGTTTCAATCTTTGTATAACCAAGGTTCCAATAAGCCTTTAATATACGTCCTTGAACACCATTATATAACACCATAGAGGCTGATTTAATATCAACCCTATAACCCGTCTCAATCAAATGTTTCGGAATGGAGGAAGATACTTTTTATCCTGTAATCTAATTGAACCATTCGAGTTGATTTGTTTTTGTACTCATTTAGATATGTGTTCAGTACATAGTTCTGAAGACCTTCATCTTCTCATTGGGTTATTACGACAATATTAATATCACTTTCATTCGGTACTATTCTCAAAAATGTTTGATAAATTATATAGGTATTGAGGCATACATTCATAGAGTTAATTTAAATCACTCAAATAATTTCATCAACGAATGTGAGTGTTCACTCAGGAACAACAATAAGATTGTTCTAATACAAACTTGTTAAACATTAAATCAAAGACAATGACTGGGAAGTTTTTGTGATCATAATATAGACCTTACCAGTGCAAGAGTATGAATTAGAACCGTTACGACTATATGGTAGAGATTGACATGAATTATCTTAAGTTACTTTCAATGTACATATTGATAACATCTGTCGAACAATCTCTTGACTATTTACAACGACTCACCATGATCAAGAGTGAAAATACAAGTTGTTTCCGGTTTTTGAAAATGTAGTTCTCACTTTGATAATATGAAGCACATAATAATTCCAGTTGCTTATCACCAATTGATTAAGTTAGATTCAGATAGACTTCATGATACCATACAGTAAAACGATATACTTGATGATACCAGACTTTTTTACTCGTAATCCGATTTACATCATCGTCATGTACTTCCTTTATGACTGTTTCTAGAATGTTACTTATGGAGAAAACTACGACGCGGTAGTGAGATTCCACAATTTTGACTAACTTTGCTGACAGTTCGAAACATTGTCAGTTAGTATACTTAAGATCATGTTGTAAATTGCTGTAACGATATTTTGTTATTTATTTATTTATTCAAACACATATATATTGGTACAAAAGGGCACCAGGTACATATGCGTCACACAAAATAATGAAAGTAGGAAGAGAAGGGATGAAAAGATAAGGCGGACTAAAATGTACAACCAGAAGACTCTTTCAGTTAGGAAAGTAAGAACCATACTTTATGTAGAAAGTAAAAGAAGGTTGCAGCAGGATCGCCACTGGTTTCTATTCTGAGCCATATCTGATAACGTCTCTAGCCATTGTGTTGCACCATCTCTCGGACCCCAACCAGGGAGTCGTGAAGGACCAACAGAAGCTAGCCCTTTGCAGCTCTCTTTCATGCCACGACACCATGTCATACACTGACCTCCTCTCCGCTTTTTCCAACCAGTCCCAGGGTCGGCAAATAATGCACGACGTGGAAGTCTCTGGGACGACATTCGTAAAACATGTCCAAGCCACCGAAGTCAGTGTTTCAAGATGGTGACACCAATTGAATTATCGTCTCTGTGCCCGAACACACGATGCCGAACCTCTGCATTACTAACATGGTGTTGCCACTGGATGTCAGCAATCCTTTGAGGACAACGATGATCAAACACAGAGAGACGTCTAACATCCTCAACTCGGAGAGGCCAGGTTTCACAAGCATAGAGCAAAACTGCTCTCACCGACGCGTTGTAAATCCGACTTTTTACAGCCAGACTAACATCACGAAGGCGCCAAAGATGGCCCAGATTGGCATAAGCCGATCTGGCTTTCCTTATACGTGCATCAATCTCATCACTCACGCCACCACCAGCACTTATATAGCTACCTAGATACACGAACTTCTCAACTACTTCTATCTGCTCACCATCCAGGGTGAGTACAGGATTAGAATCCTGCCAGTCTTGTAGAAGTACTTTGCACTTGGAGGGTGCAAAGCACATGCCATACCTGCGGACACTGATTGCCAACTGATTAAGTGCTGATTGCATGCCTTGGGCATTATCGCACAGTAAGACAATATCATCCGCATACTCAAGGTCGAGAAGTCGTTCTCCAGGCAACATATCCACACCGCCATTACTTACATCCATCAGAGCTGTTTCCAAGATGTCGTCGATGGCAAAGTTGAAGAGGAATGGTGAGATCGGGCAACCCTGCCTAACCCCACTGCTCGAATGGAACAAGGGAGAAAGGTGGTTGTATGCCCTCACTCTGCCTGAGGTGTTCGTGTACAGGGCCTTTAAGTTGTTAATGAACTTCTCAGGCACACCCAACTTCAATAGACAATCCCAGAGAACAGTCCTGTCCAACGAATCGAAGGCAGCCCTGATATCAAGAAACACTACGATTGTTGGCCTGCGATAAGTATGACGGTGTTCTAACATTTGGCGGAGGGTGAAGATGTGATCAATGCATCCTCGACCAGAACGAAAACCAGCCTGCTCCTCGCGAGTCAATCGTTCTCGGGTTTTAAACAACCTACGAAGAATGATAGAAGCCAATAGTTTGGACGCAATCGGAAGTATACTTATCCCCCGATAGTTATTGCAGGAACAACGCGAACCCTTTTTAAAGATAGGGACGACTATTGACTCATTCCAAGATGTTGGAACACTTTCTTGCTCCCAAACCTTTCCAAACAACACAGTCAATTCCTTAGTCAGAAAGTCGCCACCATCTTTAAAAAGAGCCGGAGGTAAGTCATCTGGGCCAGGTGATTTGTAGCGCTTCAAGAGTTGGAGTTCCTTGCGGACTTCCGCCTCGTTTGGTGGATCAGTCGTCACCGGCCATGGGGGGCAGGACAAGCCCCCAAATGCCCTGGTACGGCCGAGAGTGGGGAGAGTCTCCTCTCCCTCTCGAAATGCTCTCATATGGCCAGCGAATATATAGCCTCCGCCAGGGAAGTCCTACTCACTGCCTTCTCGTGGCGGGGGTGTTGTTTACGAAAGTGAGAGGACGAAAAGCGAATGTCCAGCGAATATTCTGTTAAACTTATGAGAAATTACTCTTTTGAAAAATGCCATCTGTAGCGGGTTAAAAACTTCACACTATGTGTTCTAGTCTAGATTTCAACATTGTCTTAATCTAAGACTTGTGTTATTGTTCACTGTTTGTTTTCTTTAATAAATGTAAGTGCATTGTATAAACTAGTTGGGTCGTCGACTTACATTTTCTTTTATTCGCATCGTTTCCAACTCTCATCACTCGCGTTACTCTTCATGTTCTCCTAGCATACAAAGTACCTGCTGGCTAGACATGAACCGCCATACCATCCAACAGATTGAAAAACTTAAATTAAGGTCAGAAATTCATAGAATATATCCAATAGTTTATTACTTTTAATTAAGTAACTGATCAAAATTCCTATGATTTGAACAAAGTAATCATACTGTAAGTTAACCTGAGACTGATTCAATATCGTAAAATATTGAATTTTCGCATTTTTTTTTTCTATAGAAATTAAATCTATAATTTGTTTAAAGAAATTAGTATATTATCCATCAATACTTATTAATTCAAATAAACTTTCAAGAAAAGTACTTTGAGAAAAATCAGCAAAACTGAATTGACATGTAAAATATCAATGTTCAGTATTATGAATTTAAATTTTCATTCAGCAATGTTATCAAATGATAATAATTAAATAATTTTGCAAAGATCATTGCATCTGGTAAGCATTATTTTTATATTTATGTAGAGTAGTAGTAACAGGAATAGGGAAGAACAACTATGGTGATAAGCATCACAAATTGATCTTAGCTGCTTGTAATATTAAAAACTAGTGAGTACTGAGCAGCTATCGTGTATAAGTATGGAACTTTTCAGAATTATACACCAACCTAATACTTTTAAGTCTTGCGATGAATACACTTAACTGTTAAACAAATGGTTTCCAGTTTAATGATACATAACAACAAGAACACTAACACCTATCAATAGCAGTCACCAGATGACTATGGTTTATAGACAACGACGACCTTTGAGTGATACAAAAGCAACCTTGAGGAATTTCAACTAATTAGTAAGTTTAAAGTAGGATTAGAAATAAATGTGAAGAATTACGATTAGAACTCAGTGTTAGAAGTTAAACTTCTCATCACTGACATTAACTATTATGTCATAATGGTATTCAACCATAAGAGAATGAATTAATTTTCCCCGAAATTTAAAAAGCGCTATCTGAATTCGTATACGTTCATTAATAAATCATAGATTATTGAATATCACACTCACCATTAGAATTGAAGGCCGTCAGTCTAACTAGATCTACAAGATCATGAACTACTAAGGAGTAGTTTTTAACTTGTTTAAAATAACTATTCAATGCTCTTTGGTGTTTAATAGTTCTTCACCTATCTTCAGTTTGTGATTACAAAAAATATTCCTGACTATTATTTGATTTGGAAATACTCATTAATAATAATAATAAGCATGACGAATAGATGCTGACAACTAACACGCATAATGTTTGTATATTTTTAATAGTTTAATTTAAAAGAAACATTTATTTAAACTTGTGTAATGCAGTCTAAAAAGGGTTAAAGTGTAACAATTAATGATTCAAATTATATAGATGAATTATCAGATTAATTTAGGATAAGCATATTCTACCATAAGCACAGTTGAGTGGATTATCAGTATAGGGTTTGGGAGATTATTGAATTTCGTCAAACGACCTAAGTTGCACTGCCACTGAAATAGCCGTCCAGTTCTTTCAAGTGTTCAATGGTGTTCTCACTTTAATTGGTTCGTGAAATTCACTTCAATATGATTTATCAATGACTACATGAATTTATTAGCAAAAAGTTTTTATAATCAATTTGTTTAATTCATCAAACCTACCAGCAGAAATAATTGAAATGATTCTGGAAGGAATAGGGACAACGATTTATTATTTTACTATTATTCATTTGGATAAATAATTAAACAATAATGTCAACATGACAATAGAATAATTATTTACTAGAACAAGATTATCTAGTTATTATGTTTTGAGATTCAGTGATGAAACCAGACCATTGAAGATTGAAATCAATAAGTATTTTAGTAGTTTTCCAGACATTTGAATATTTCTCTTGATATGATATGCTATGAGCATTAAATCAATATGGTTAAAAAAGTCTTATCACTAAAGTTGAGGATAATCTTGAAATTTCTAAGCTAACTTTTGGAGAGTGAAGAAGCCACAGGAAGACGAAACTGAGAATCTATTGCTAAAAATATTACTGGGAATCGAATGTATGTATTGATTTTATATAGCTTCTGAGTTCCTGAGCGCGTGCATTTAATTTCTTTGTAATCCTAAAGCAGGCCATTCTTGCTAATATTAATAACAATGTATTATGAGAACCTCCAACTGATCGAGTCAATGAGTGAGGTATTAACTCACTGATAAAATTGAATAATGATTATGTTATATAACAGATTGACTGAAGTTAAAAATATAGACCCATCAAGGTAACTGGTACATCTTGAAAATCCTTACTTTGATCATTATGTGTTGTAATAAGTATGTACTGTTAAAAACGAGAAGTTTGTCAAATGTTCTCCTTTTTGTATTGTTCTACAGTTTATCCAAGTTCAAGATGAAAGGAAAACTATTTTTTTAATACTATGTCTAAATTTCGTTATAAAACAGCTAAATTGATAATTTATTGTATGTTGAGTTAAAATTTATGTAAATGAAAAGTAAATATTAAAAAGGTTATTGACATCTGTATTAGGCAATAATATACGGTTCAGAATAACTATGTATTATAAAACGTATAATTGGTACAGTAGAATGTTGATTATTTATAAGTAGGGGAAAATTATTTAGGGCAAACAAATGTCTATTGAACAACTTTAACATAAAACATTAAATTAGTAGAATAGGAATGTTAGTTACACTTTAAGACAATGGATAGGAGGTTAGAGTGGGGAAAAAGCAGTATAATAAAATTAACAACTCTTGCCTAATAATAGGTGTTCAAAAATATGTAAAGTGACAGACCATGGTTAAGTGAATGATTCACTTGCTTTGGTAGTCTTGAAAAATAAATTGGTATTTTTGGTTTTGATAAGCATATGAACTCCTAGTTCAAGAAAATATATTTCGAACTCTTAATATATGGATTAAGGTGGAAAAAGTTTCCTCGTAGCTCTTCTTAACTGATGATTGTCAAGTCTGATTGATGAAACCGATTGTTAAGGGGCGGGTGAGCCTAGACGGCACATCATAGACGTAGTAGGAATGGGTACTGAAGACTGTTTGAGATGTACCCCTAATGCATCTCAAACTATTCTGGCCCTCAAGGCTTAGGCAGATATTTGAACTATAACACAATCTTCTTCAAGTGGTTTATTGAAATTCATCATATATTAACAAAATATTTGATTACGACTATGGTTGTATGCCATTTATTTACACAATTAAGTCGGGAATATTATATATCGCATTTGCTTACACCCATAACTTTAAAATTTCACTGGAAGAACGATATCTTTCAACCGGGAAGTCAGAAGTTCAGTGGTTCAAATTTTCTTGATTTAGCTCAATTCTGATCTCATTTCTTTAGTGAGTTACAATTTCATAACCAATTTCGTCAGCTTCACAGATCACGTCCTTCATCTAAAGGCTAGTCAACAGTGGACACAGAATTATGACTATTAAGTAAGGTATTTCCATTGAGATAATATTTAATTTTAAAAAATAATCAAAATAATGCATACGGTCAGTTAGTAACTGTTTAATAATGGGACTTTAATTGTAAGAACTCTGCAACAATCTATGGATTTCTTTTTGACTGTTCGATTTCCATTCTTACGTAATAATAATGATAAATTCTAACAGTTAATTATTGGTAAATGGATTGATGATCATTAGAACAGAATAAAATAATATGACTATTCACTATATTACTTGTGAATCAATCAATACTTGATATTTTCATTCCATATTTTTATACTCGTTAAAAATGAAACCATATGACATAACACAATCTGATCTCTTTTTCATTAGATGATATCTTATATTGATTATCTATTTATTAAATGAATAATATACATATTGATAAATATATACTGTCTGTAATTCTGTTGTCAAGTAAACTTTTTTTGTTAGTGATAGATAAAGCAAAACAATAACAGCGCCTGATATTAACCAGTAGTAGCACAATAGTGAATAAAATAAATGCATAAATATATACAAAAGAATGCTAAATCATTGTAACTATTATCATATAAAAACACTTTAATCCGTAAATTGTATGGATTAGCATATACTAATCCAATAAACTGATTACATTCTGAAAACTTATATGAACTGCCGTGCGGCTAAGCTATATATATATATATATATATATATATATATATATATTCACACTTGAATATACGCTCAATTTAAAGTTAGGTTACACTCATGAATTGATACTAGTTAGCTGAAACAGCTGGTCAGTGCCATCTTTAGCCAAGTTTTATTTAGCTTTTCGTTACAAGTTCGGTTAGTATTCAAGTCTATAAACTAACGTTTATTTTTATCGGTTACAATATATTAATTTTAATTACTCATAATCAAATAAACTTTTAAATCTGTAACAAAGAATTATTATTAAAAAATTGAAAGAATTATATATGCTATGCGTGAACATATCTATGAAGGATTATAAGTTATAAAATGATGTGTTCAGCATGCGTACTGATTCAATTTCACTGAGAGTATAACAACACGTTAGTGTATAAAAAATAAGTTAATTACAACTTAAGAAATTAATTAAAATGATTACTGTAAACTTATGTGTTTAAACATCTTTTTTAGTTGCCATGCTAAGAAAAAACACAGCTAGCTTAAGACATGAAGAGAGAAACTTTTATTGACAATATCAGTTAGTGTTTACGCTTAGTAGGAAGTAACTTGCCATCACTATGAATATATAAATTCTATCATTGTGTAAATGACAATTATTTAAACAGATTGCATAAAATAAATAAATAACACGTTCCATAAAGAAAATAATGAACCTCAAGATA